TAATAAAATATTTAAAGAAATCATGGATATTAAGATAATTTCTTTTGCACAAATTTTTTTTACTGATTTTTTTTCTTCCCTCACTCACATGTCACCCCACATCTCTTTAAATCCCAAAATATCCCACCCCACATCTCTCTCCAAATCCCACGTTTTTTTCTCTCTCCTCTCCCACATTGCTCTCCTCATTTGCTCCCATAAAATTTCAAATTTTCACACACATAATGTGTGGTATTTTCTTATATACATATATATATATATATATATATAATTCTTTAATTTGAGATCAGAATTAAAAATAAATTTCATTAATTAACAATAAGAAAAGTAATGGATAGAAAAAGTTGGGGTAGAGATAGTGTTGCACAATCAAACCCAAACTTTTGCTTAAAGTCTTGGTCAATCACTGAAGGGAAAAGGCAAGGCAAATAAGAAGAGAAAAGTACTTCAATCCCTCGGTCATGAACGTACTGTCGGTCGAAGACTAGGCATATATCTTTTGATTGAAATTAGAATATTGTCCCAAATCCCAATCATAAGTGGAAAAATTATAAAAAATACAGTGGTGTGTAAGTAAATGGGATTTTTGTTTTTGTGGAGGCTTGAAATAAATCTTCTTATTGTTTCTTATTTGGAGATAAATCAATACAAACACCAAGGACATGTTAAACAAAAGGAAATAAGTTACTCTAGCTGGGCAAGGTGATCAGGACTTAATTAATTAATTGGGTAGTGCTTGACTTACATTTTGTCAATGAGTTATATTATCAATACGTAAGTTGCAAGTATTGTTGTTGGGTTCCTTGGAGTTGTTAAGAGATCAGACATTTTCAACACATATTCATTAGACAATAAATCATACCTTAGAGGACTTTTTGAGGTGGTAGTTCGAATTTGTGTGTCACGAACTTGATATGTCGCATTCATGTAAATAAATAAATATATATATATATATATATATATATATATATATATATATATAAGTGATGCTAGAGAGCTCAAGTTTCTATCTTTTGTAATCACATAATATGATGATTGATGGTTGGACTAATTTTTTAAATAATTAAAAATAAGTCAAATCATCAATTGTCACATCATATATCATGTGATCTGGAAAAGATGATCTAAAAATTTGATCTCGATAGTATATTCATATATATATATATATATATATATATGGCTATTGACTAATGAGTTGAAATATGCATATCAATATCTGTATTTGAACAAGCATTACAGATTTTTTAGACTTTGTTGAATCGTAAATAGAATAGTTGTTCTTGGCGTAACTTTGGTCATTATCTTAACAAAGGATTACAAAGATATTCATTATGATTAATCATGCATGGATGAATGCTTTCCCTTTATTGAATTTTTTGTAAGTGATTTTATGAGGGTAAAGTTTTAACCACGTTAGCTTGCCAGTTTGATGTATGTGTTGGGTTTGATGAAGGAAAATTTATATGTTCTCAACACTTCAAAAGCAAAAACATATACATTGTAAATTTATTCGATTCTCTACATTGCACATCGGTGCGGGTGATTTCAGTAAGAGACCGGTGCAGGTGAGACTGACGAGGAAAGAGGGAATAGAGGTTGGAGTTGGAGTTGTTGGACCGTTGGAGAGAGAGTTGCAGCCGTGGAAATCTGGAACAAGAATTTGTAAAGTGCGATAGGAGTCGTAGGGATGGTAAAGGGAAAACTGAATCATTAGGGTTTGTGAAATGGGATGGAACGGAGTAAGTGATACGGTACAGAAGGTGAATTTTAAATTTAATGACTATGGAGATGTGAGATAGTTAGAATTAATTAAATAAATCAAATGATTATGATTTTATTAAATGCAGATAAATGCACCGATGTTAAATGCAGAAATACAGAATATTACACGTAAATATACGGAATATGCACATGTGAGCAAGTGGCCCTTTTCCACAATGGTGGAAAAAAGTTGAGCCCTTGCATGAGGGCATGGGTTCGAATCTCGTCGATGACTAATCTAACAAAATATGTCATTTGACAAAAAAAAATTGATAGTGTTCATCAATTTTTTTGAACTCAATTAGATGCCTCAAATATTTCCGATTTGGCTAATAACTTGCAAGAATGATCTATGAGGTGCAACTTGAAAAATAGACAGTCTGGATTGTTGAAATTCGATATGATGTAGGCGCCACAACTAATCCCAAAATTTTTGCAAAAAAAAAAATGAGGATCCTTCTTTTTTTATTCTCAGTTCTCCCTTGAGTTTAATCTCAATTTTCCTTGACCCGAGTCTCATATGTCCCAGGCTTCATTCCCAAAATTTTTGCAAAAAAAAAAATGAGGATCCTTCTTTTTTTATTCTCAGTTCTCCCTTGAGTTTAATCTCAATTTTCCTTGACCCGAGTCTCATATGTCCCAGGCTTCATGCCCTTTATATGATGTTTTTCACCTACTTTTACTGCTTTCTGTCTTTTAATTTTCATTCCTACCCTCCCTAGCTGTGATACTTCATCCCCAGCCCACCATGTGCTCGGATCGTAGGCTTCGATCAGAAATTGGATATCAAATCTACTTCCCTCCCTCACCTCCCCTCCCCCAACTGGCATGCTGGATCCCCATTGAGGCCAAGTGTTGGGTGTTTACATACCCCTAGCCCCACTCCCTACCCATATGTTACTTTGTTTGTATATATTTGTAGAGTTCATGAAGGGAACTTGGTTCTAGTGTCTACTTTCTATGTTCGGAGTTTGGCTTCCTCCAAGAATGTGACGGCGGCAGCATTGTGGTCTTTGCTGCTGGAGAGTAGGGTTTTTATTGCTTGTTTTTGCAGCCTTCGGACCTAAGTTTGTGTAAGTCTCCCGTTGTATCTTGGGTTGCCTATCTCATTTTTCTCAGCCTTTTACTTTCTATGTAATTATTTACCTGATTCTTTTTTAGCCTTGTACTAATTTTTAATGTACTGAAAGTTTATCTTCGTGACACAAAAATAAAAAAATAAAAAAAAAAGGCTGACCTTCCTGTTTATGATTACTGCTATATTTTCTATTTTTGTTGGTTGGATGGTAATGACTGTACTAGTTGCAACAAGGTTATACAGAAATATATGATTACTATATACAAACAGGTAGACGATAAATCTTCGTCATGGAGAATTTGTCCTCCACTTCCATGATGAACAGTGAACATCAACTTCACGCGTGCCCCACGCATACCCAGCTTTTTTGTGTGCGTGAGAGAGTCCAATCCAAACCAGGTAGAGTGGAAATATCTGTGCATACGTTTTCTTCACTTCATCCAGGCGCGTTCGGTGCACACCATGTTTACCAACCAATTTAATGTTGTGGCACATAGATTAGTTAAATTGGCTTTTAATTATTTCATATGTGATTTATTTTGGTTTGAAGGATCTCTCATTCGTGAACTCCTTTTATTCTAGTTTGAGAATAAATCTTACATTAATAAGAAGGAATCTTACATAAGTTTATAAATAAGTTAGGATACTGTTTATTTTGCCAATTAGTTTTAGGGAATTGTTATTAGCACTCCAAAAATCTCATTTAGCACTCCAAACTTTTTATAATTAGAAAGAAAAATACACTGTTAAGGAAGTGTAGAATGAGATTTTTGGAGTGTTAATAACATTTCCCTTAGTTTTATGGAGGAATTTCAACTTTTCATGGTATTAGAGAAAGTTGTCCCGCGTGGGAAGCTCAACAGCCCCACGTGCTTCACGTCATCCCGTTTTTGTTGTCCACGTATTAGGCTTGAAAATTCACCACACGTGATGGGGCGTATTGAGAATAAATCATACATTTATGGAAGGAGGGACCTGTGGGTTATGGCTTATAAGTAAATTGGCTACTCTCCATAAGGAGGGTATACTTTCAATTGGAATTTTAAGAGATTATTCACTTTACAAATCTAGAGGTATTCGATCAAGATTTTAAGTATTTTTCTCAAAGTTTAGGTGCATTCAACTAGGATTTTAAAAGAGTTTATAACATTTCAGGTGTATATAATTAGAAATTTATTTAAAAGTTTTCAAAAAGTTGGAAATTCGAGGGAATTTGAGAAATTTCACAGTGTATTTTAAGCATTCTCAAGTTTCATCTCTCCCTTGAGAATTTGAGGGGAATTCAATTAAACTCCATCAAAATCTATAGATTTATAAATTCATTAAAATCCTTTTAAAATCTCAATTGAATTTACATGTGTTGTAGGCCCTACCTCTATTAGAAAAGTGGTACAAATGTGATATTAAAAATATGGTAAGCTAGATTTGTGGCTAAGAGGAGGCTGAAATGCATCTGTGAGTTTTTCCGGCCTTCGAAATGGGTGAATAACCGTGACTTGCCACCAGTTGTCTCTTAAAAAAAAAACAATTCTATATTAATATGGTGTATATATATACTAACGTACACATAATGTATACATGAATTGATGCTATAACTTAAAAGGGCATGTTAAGTTCCCCATCAAATGGATCTTGAACTAATGAAAAGTTGTGGAAACAATTCAATTTGGAATGACCAATGTGTACAAGAGAATGTAGGGCACTAGAAACGTATGCAAAGCACATCATGTCATTGGAAAATCCAAAAGTACAGTTTTAACGAAAATCAAGTACGTACAAATTTATTTTTTTTAATTTTTATTCGGTGATACTTTACACATTATAATTTTGATAGATTTGAGATAAGTTCACCGTAATAATATGATATCAAATTGGTGATTTATATAATTGAATATAAAACTTCTTACTTACAAGATATATATAAAGAAAAATGTTTTAAAAAAAAATTACTTTTAATTTCTTCCCCACGCGCCGAGATAGAAGTGTCGGTATGATCTATAGATTCTAATGAGGCTTTGGTTATATGTTGCTGTCCCTCCCCTCTTTTCAATTGCGCTATTCCACCTTACATCACCTCCCCACCCCATCTCTCTCTCTCTCTCTCTCTCTCTCTCTCTCTCTCTCAAAATCCCTCTCTTTCTGAACCAAGCAAACACTTCGTCCCCCTATCTTCGAGTATTCTCTATCAAAAACTATCAAACACCTTCCCCATCCTTCTCTCCCATAAACACACAATGGCTGACAGAGTCTACCCTGCAGCCAAACCCCCCACCGACGCCGTCCCCACCGCCACAAACCAAGCCTTCCCCGCCACAAAGGCCCAACTCTACAGCAACACGCGCCCAGCCTACCGCCCCCAACCACACCACCGCCGCCGCAGCCGAAGCCGCTGCTGCTCCTGCTGCCTCTGGATCATCTTCATCATCCTCCTCCAACTTGTCATTGCGGCCATCTTTGGCGCAGTCTTCTACGTCCTCTACCGCCCTCACCGCCCCACCTTCTCCGTCACCGCCCTCAAACTCCAAACCCTAAACATCACCACCAACAACCAGCTCACCTCCAGCTTCAACCTCAACATCACTGCTCGAAACCCTAACAAGAAACTCGTCTTCTTCTACAACCCCATCGCTGTCTCCATCTATTCCAACGACGTAGATGTCGCCGACGGAGTCATTCCCGCCTTTGTGCATGGGAAGAAGAACACGACGCTGCTGAAGGCTAAAATTTCTAGCAGCGGCAAAGAGCTCGAGAGCAGCGAAGTGAGCACTTTGAAGGCTGACATGAAGAGCAAAAACGGGTTGCCGTTGAGGGTGAGGTTGGACACCAGAGTAAGAGTGAAGGTTTTCGGGTTAAAGACCCCGAAAATGGGGATTAGGGTTAAGTGTGACGGGATTAGGGTTACTTCTCTTCCTACTGCTAAAGCTCCTGCCACTGTGTCTACCTCCAACGCCAAGTGTAAGGTTAATCTTCGAGTCAAGATCTGGAAATGGACTGTGTGAGGGGAAAGTGCTTAATTGAAAAATTAAAAAAAGAAAAAGGAAAAGGTTTGTGATATATTTTCTTTTATTTTAATTTCAAAGTTTTTATTGTTCATGATTTTGTTATATATATTTCGAATTTATTTTTTATAATTTTTGTTCTTGAGTTTTGTTATTGGAAGAAATGGAGGTGGTGGTTGATATTGTATAGTGTGTTAGGAAAGCAAGTTGTTAAATTTCTTATTATGTAAATGTTATTTTAAGAAAAAAATTGGGGTCTTATTAATTAGTATTGTCTGTTTGTTTAGAGAAGTATATGTTAGCTGATAATTTTAGTCATACTCTGAACTGTAAATGTGCTGTCAGCTGTGTTAGCAAAAGTCAAATATTCTTATTAAAGGTGAAAAAAATCTATAAAATAACAAGTGATGCTAGGGAGATCAAAATTCTAAAGTAAATTTGCAAATCAAATGATGTGTCACCACCAATAGGAAATAAGCATGTTAATCAACGCTTAAGTAATAATTCAATTATCAACAATCATTTCATTTGGTTTCAAATTTGATTTAAAAAATTTGATTTCCCTAATATTATTCTAAAATAATTAGCGTGTTTGGACGAGAAATTGTAAAATTTTAGAAAAAGGGATTAATTTGAAAATGACTAGATACATTACAGTTGAGAGAATCCAAATTAATGACTTATTGAAAGGTGTCGACGTGTCGTATAAAAGTATTTTGTTTAGTGTCTAGTGCATTAGATAATCCATTGATAGTAATTTTGTTATTTTTATTATTATTAAGAAAAGCAGAGGGTGTTTTTATTTTATTATAAATAAGGCAAGTGGTGAGAGTTGAAAGGACGCATGGATATAAACTTTTATCTACTATAATATTGGACAACATGCACATTATTGATGATACTTTTACAACATATTTTTGACATTTACGATTCTTTGGTATACGAAAGCGGTGAGTAAAATATTGAGGAAAATAGTTGAGTTATATATATATAGCATCGAAACATATAGTTTCAAATTTTTGTTCTACTCGTTTTCTTCGTGTTTTGTGTATGGTACAATACAATTCATCAATTTTGTGAGTAATGAGAAAACCACTTTGGCAATTGAAAAATCAAAAAAATTGTAATAAAAAAATTTGTCGGTGTCGGTGATTGAAGTTGAATTTGGAAGAGTTCAAGGTAGGGAGGGTAGGGCCCCGATAGTATTTTTCAATTTTGGCCTGCATGTGTTTGGAAACGTGGGAAGCACTGACTCTCTGCTGCCAAATGACAGAATTCCATACGTGTGACAAACGTGTCATGGCTCATGATTCATCATGTATCACTTAACCAATAACTGAAAAAACTTAAGTTGACTTATCGTCAAATGCATGAACAAATACCCTACTACTCAATTGAGCACAATATATTGTTTTAAAACTCCCATCGTCTACAAATTAATCCCTTCAAGCTCATCCAAATTCATCCAATGGCTGCTAGACTGTACGCTTAAGAGTTCTGCTCGGTAGTCACAATTAATTTTGTGATCTAACAGTATTCTTTTCGACCTATAAGATGTAGATTTTTTGTTCAAATCTCGTTTTTTACGAGTTCAATAGTAATTTATTATTTTTGACATGTTGTATGGCTTAACTCAAATCTCTCACCCTCTTAATATAATTATAATTACATTTCGTTACATTAAAAAAACAGTCTTGGTCGGTAACTTTTTCGATTATGTTTCTTAATTTTATGGGAGAAAGAAAAAAGAGAAGGATGGTTGGTGAAAATGTGTAAAAAAACCATAATTGAAGTGAACACTAAAAGTTAAATTCTAAAGCCAATTACAAGTTCTTTCAATTTCTAAGTTTTTATTTCCTCAATCCATCCTTTTATGCCTCCCCCATAACGAGATGATACACCAGACGATCCAATTAAGATAATAAAAATAGCAATCGTTTTCCTATAATCGTTAACCGAGTTTATAAGTAATAAAAATGGTGTTTGGTGACAGATGCCAATCATAATCGTAACGTTGATTATGATGTTCTATCGAAGATGAAAGAAGCACTACCGCAACTAATTAATTCAAGTTGTGCTTTATCTTATCAGGAAGACCAAAAGGATTGTTGGAACACAAATTATACATCATGCTGCATATAGATCCACATGATCCTTGTAGTCGATATGATGCGATGGTTCTTGGCTTACAAGGACATACAAGAAATTGGTTAATCACTACTTCTTTCAGGAATTTGACTATAATATTTAGGGTGCTTTAGATTTTGGCCCATACAACTCATGATTTCTAGATAAAAACTCGTTTATCTTTAAACTTCCAATAAAAACCCAAATTTAAAATTTGTAGCCACATCAAATTACTATTGACCTACTAGTATAATGTATTTATACCCATACCACTCATACTTTCTCTTCCATTTTCCAAATCTCTAAATTTATGCCAAATTAAAAGTAACAGAAAAAGTAAAATATTGCATTAATTGTCGCATCCCTGCCTGGGCTCGCGTGACGGCCAACACGCCTTGATTTTGGTCGGAGTGTGTCATTAATTGTATTCATATCATACCACAAATTTACCATTATTTGTGGTACAGTTTGCATTAATTATATCCGTATTAATTGGGTGGTAAATTAATTTATTCTAATTATTAAAACAAATTATATAATATATTTTGAATTGTCTAAAATTTCTCTAACTTGCAGGTAAATTATTTTTTATGTGTTGTTGTATATGTTAGGTGCATTTTGATTGTTGTATAAACATAGGCGTAACATAATTTTTTTTAATATTATGCATGAAACTACATTTCTTCTTGTTACAGGTAGGTAAATTAATTTGTTCCAATTATAAAACAATATGTAAATTATAATATAGATAAGTTATTTTGGTAAAAGAAACAATAGGTAAATTAAAATGCATAAACAAAAAGCAGTAAATACATTATTTTGAATCAAACAATAGGTAAATTGTAGATACATTATTTTGGTAAAAAAAAAAAACACAACAGGTAAATTAAAATTCATAAACAAAAAGTAGTAGATATATTATATTTGCAAAAATTATATTGTAGATACATTATTTTGATAAAAAAAATAGGTAAATTAAAATTCAATAAACAAAAAGTAGTGGATACATTACTTTTAATCCAATTACATTCCTTTATTTTGTTAAAGACACATTTTATTACTAATACACATGTGCACATATTTTACCTATATTGTAATTTAAAATATAAGTGAATTAATTTTGAATGAAACAGCATTCCTTTAGATATTTTGCATCTATTATTACCTAAACTGAGCAAATTTTATGATAATACATATGTTTAAATAATTTACCTATAAGTTTATATAAAATATTTTTGTAGTGCCATTTCAGATTTTTATTTGGTAAGTGATAAACAATTACGAGTCTTAAGAAAAGTATAGCATTAATGTTTCTTTTATTTTTATTTTTGACATAAGCATCTATCTCTAATTTTTATACTATGCAATAAATCTAAACATTAACGCATTTTTTAGAATCATTAATCCCTCCCTTAAAATCTACACAATTAGAGTTAAAATTGTAATTAGGGGTATTCTATTCATCCGAAAAAAAAACAAAATTTGTGAAGTCAAACCCAATTAATGAATTTGCTTATGTAGAGCTTAGTCACTGGGTTTTGTTTAGGTAAAAAGACCGTATCGAGTTTTATGTAAAAAAACTTGAGTTTTAGGGGCTAAAGTCATATTTTTAGTAATATTTACATGTATTTGATACAATAATCATCTCGACGGTTCTTGTCACATCCCGGCCCGGGGCGGTTCACTTCCTGGGCCCGCTCCATCACCGTAGCACGATATTGTCCGCTTTGGGCTTACCATTCCCTCACGGTTTTGTTTTTGGGAACTCACGAGCAACTTCCCAGTGGGTCACCCATCATGGGATTGCTCTAGCCCCCTTCTCGCTTAACTTCGGGGTTCCTACGGAATCCAAAGCCAGTGAGCTCCCAAAAGGCCTCGTGCTAGGTAAGGATGAGAATATACATATAAGGATCACTCCCCTGGACGATGTGGGATGTCACAGTTCTAATGGTAATTGTATTAAACACATATATTCATGTGTGTTACATATGATCATCAAACAATGATTGTATTAAATACATGAAATATTGTAGCCAGTCTTTTAACTTTAAGTAATAATTTCTAGATTCTTCTTTATATTTTTGTAATGCAAAGTGCATTCCTAATCTCTTCTTGCATGAGGTAACACTCGCTTGAAAAAAACCCCATTAGTAAATTAAATTGTACCTACGATTAAGGAAATGGCGATAGAACAAAGTTATTTAGCTAATTTTTTTTTTTAAACAAACGATATTATTTACTATAAGGAGTGGGATAGTGGGTTAAGCCTCACAATAGACTAGTAATAATGTGGTTCAAATTTGCCTTTGCGCGAGAATCGAACCTAAGACCTCTCACTAACAAATGAAGATGAATATTATTAGACCGTAGTGCTAAATCACATTTGGCTTTAAATTATCCAACAAAATACTTGTCCTCGTTAGTTGGAGGCCTCCAGACGGACACAAGATGAAGCTGAATTTTAGTGGTTCAGTTGTTACTTCTCACCAAGCTAATTTGTGCCTGTGTGGTTCTAGTTCAAGTGGTATTCCTGCAATTACTCCGCGGAGGATGGACAAATGAAATATTTCAAATATTCTTGTTGCAGAAGAACAAGTCCTAGTTGATGGTCTTCAAGCGGCTCTTTTAAAGGGTTCATTTACTCAATGGAGGGAGACTGCTCAAGGTCCTTATGTTGTTAACGGGACCATCACTAAGTACATGTTTGAGTACCCCTGGTGTATAACATCCACAAGCTTGCTTGTAGATTCCAGGACATCTCGTTTCATCATATCTATCGGAGGTCTAATTTTGTAGTGAATGAATTTGCGGACGTGGGTCATGCTTCTCCACTAATGGTGTTTGGTTACAAATCTCGCTATTAAGGTGAGCGCAGTGACACATAATACCGTATGTTTGAACCAAATTATTCCTCTTCACTAAATACTACGATCTAGTGACAATTCTCTTCGTTCTACACTTGTAAGTGAGCGATTTTAAGTTCGATTCTCGTTAAAGACAAATTCGAACCAAATTATTATGTGGCCAGCCTATTGCGAGCTTAGCTCATTCCCCCACCCATAGTGTAGATAATATTGTATATATTAAAAAAAAAAAAAGAAAAAAAAAAGAAAGAGATTAGCTTAGTAATGAGACTTACAA